CTGTGTAGCGAGACTGGGGCTGGGGAATGGGGGATGGGAGAGCCCGGCGCTGCGGCTCAGGCTGGAGGGAGGGGAAAGGACTCCACGATCGGGGTCTCCAATGGGAGCCCCTCCACCGCCTGCCTCTCGGTGGGAGTCCGCGGTCACCCTCTCTTGTGGGTCGGCGTCCTCTCCGCCGCCTGCTACTGTGGATGGGGAGGGCAGGTTTCTGTAGCCCTAAGAATGGGAGAGAGAGACTGGTTCCCTTGCTCCCCATTCCAGCCATCCGGGGAGCGCAGGTGTAGACCCCAGTACCGTCGACCCAAGTAGGGACGAGAGGGCTCAGAATCTCCCTGAGGGAAGTTTGGAAATTCAGACTATCAAAGCGCCTCTCCTTCTGGCAGCCTGGCCCCTAGATCCCGAACCCCCATTCCCGGCTGGTTTTTCTAGCGTCCTTTGCACCTCCATCCTCAGGCCCGCAGTGTTACACGCAGGAAGACCCAATCTCTTACAAACTCCACGACCAAGATCCTAAAGTCCAGGGGAGGAGACTGTGTTGAAGTAGGGTTTTGTGCTCTTGGAGCGCCGTCCCCCCACCCCTGTGCCTTCAACTGTGACTAGGGGAGGGAGTGCCTTGGGGGCCGGGGCGCATTCCAGAGTGACATTCCAGGGCAGACCCTTGAGGATTTCCAAGTCTCAGAGTGCTCAGGGCATTTTGGCCCAAATGCCTGGTCTTGGTGCGGGGCAGGGATAGGAGGATAGAGGTGGGGTGTCTAGGCTGAGGTTCGAGCAACCCCTACCCTCCCCCCGCCGCCCACCAACCTACACACTGAGCCCACTCCTTCCAGGCATAGGCTTCTCCCGTGCGCCTTCTTATTGATGGGGTAAACGCCTGAGCGCCCTGGACAGAGGGGTGAGACAATGGGACCTAACCAGGGACTGGGAGAGAGGGATGGAAATGGAGGTAGGAAGGCTGTCAGTGAGGCCATCCTCTTTCCCGATAGGCTGTACAGTGTGTGGGATGGGAGGAAGGCAGGTGCTCTGTGGTATACCTGGGTGAACCTCCCTGGAGAGTGCCCTGGTCACAGCACCCTTGAAGACAGCCATTGGCCATGGGTCAGTGTTGAGCTTGGTTGGCCCTGTGACACGCTGGAGCTCTCTTTGCAGGGTGGTATCCTTTGCCCTGGTGGGTAGAGGGGGTCTCAGGCTTGTGTGTGGATGATGCTGGAGCCAGGAAGGGGGTTTTGCTCTGGAGAAGTGAGAAGGCCTGGCTGTCTCCCCTGTTGCTGGATGAAGCCACTTGTTGCTGGGGGAAACCAGTCAGGGCTGCTTGGGCCTCAGCCTCTGAGCCCACCAGGCCTCTGCGCCCCCTGCAGAGAGAAGGAGGGAGGAGGGAGATTCAGCAACTGGACTGGACTGATTCAGAGGAGAGCTGGGGGCCGGGTGGCTGAACCTGGGGAAAGGCCGATTTCAGAGGCGATTAAAAATATTTGTACAACTGATTCCAGGGAAGTGAAGCAAAAGGCCCTTTTGTCCAGAAAATAATCTGAGGCTGGGGCTGGGCTTCAGCTGTGGGATCGGGGAGACTCAGGGCAGAAGGAGGTTCCTCTCCTACCCCACTCATTGTACCCTCTGAGAATCTTTAAGCAGAAGATGCAACTCCAAAATGGAGGGGGCAGCCCTGGGTATGGATCAATGCACCTGAGACCATCCAGAGGTGACTTCCAAATGCCCAGTGTGTTCAGGCACAGCACCCGCTGTGGCAGTGAATTCTAGAATTCTTGTTCACCAGCTTCAAAGACCTTCCAGCCCTGGAAGGGAGACACAGATATGATTTGAATGTTCAGGGATCAGAAGGCTCAGTCTTAGTGCGGGATCTAGGGACCCACAGGAAGCAGAAGGTTCCTCCAGGGTCCTGAGGAAAAGCCTCTGACCAGAACTGAGTCCATCTTGTCAGTCCCTTAGCCACCATGTTAAAAGTGGCATTGGGCCAGGCACGGTGGCTCATACCTGTAATCCCAGCAGTTTGAGAGGCTGAAGTAGGCACATCACCTTAGGTCGGGAGTTCGAGACCAGCCTGGCCAACATAGTGAAACCCTGTCTTTATTAAAAATACAAAAAATTAGCCGGGTGTGGTGGCGGGCGCCTGTAATCCCAGCTACTTGGGAGGCTGAGGACAGGGAATTGCTTGAATTTGGCAGTTGGAGGTTGCAGTGAGCCGAGGTCACCGCCATTGTACTCCAGCCTGGGCGACAAGAGTGAAACTTTGTCTTAAAAAAAACAAAAAAAAAAGGTGGCATTGGCTGAATGTGCACTCCCGGCATCAGAGGGCTGGAGCTGTGCTCTTCTGAGCTTCTCTTAACTCTCTGAGGGTCCTTGTCCTAGGCAGTAGATGAGAGCCACGCCCAGAAGGCCCAGCTTTCTCACCTGAGTCCATGCATTTCTGTCTTCCCACCTGCTCTTCCATTTCTGGGGGTACCAGAGAAATAAGGTCTTTCAGGATGGGACCAGGTTGTGTCCTCTGAGGCTATTAAGTTGCTCAGCAACTTCCTAAAAGCAGCAGCCTGGTACCCGGATGCGGTAAGGGGCAGATACAGGTTCCTCTCTCATTCCCTGGAAGTTTCTATATTGAGGGGGTTGGCAGGAGAAGCAAGACTTGAAGGGTCAGGTGCAGAAGGAAGTTGCTGGTCACCAACCACAAAGTCAGGGGGAAATGGGAGGTGGGGGCTTGGGGACAGGGAGCTGTGATGCTTTCCTGACCCTGGCCCAAGTGCCTGTGGGCTTCTGGGAGCTGGCAGGGTACACGCAAGTATTTCTAGGGCAAGATGGATCAAGAAGAATAAGTGACATTGGTCCCTGGCTTGGTTTTCTGTAATGACATGCCTGTTAGATTTGAACTTGTAGTGTGGGCTTTAGCATCCTTTTCCCCCACCTCTGCCCGCCAACAAGTCCTTCGATTGTGTTTTGGAAACGATCTCTCAGAGCTGGCCATTATGGCTTTACCTTTGGCCTTGACCTTTAACTGAGATGAATGTGCGCCCCCCCTCCAACAAACCGATTGCCTGTGCATTTTTCCCAGACTCATTTATTAAAAGTACAACCCTGGCTATGCCCCCATCATGCTGAAACCAGCCTTCGGTGGCTGACTGTTACCTTTAGAATAATGCCCCCAGCCCCACCCCTGTAGCATTTCCAGTGTGTCAGCCAGCAGCTGCAGCCTCCCTTTGCAAACTCAGCTGATACTTAGCAAACTGAATTCTTTTTTCACTTGCTCTGGACTTGGGCTCAAAGGGCTTTGATTCACACCGTCTTTTCTGCCTTACACGTCCCTCTCCTTGTTCCCTTCACCTGCTCAGCCGTTCCTCACATTCTTCAGGGCTTAGCTTCTGGGTGTCCCTGTCTCTTGGCGGTGTCTGGGACCTGGTATGTTTTTTATGAGATTCTGAGTAAAACTCTTTGGAACAGTCTTTCTCTGCTCTGCCTGTTTCTCTTCTGTCTTCCTGTAGCCCCTGTCTCTCTCCTACAGGTAAATTCCATTGTGTGGCCCTTAATCATATTCTTCCTTGTGTAATTTTTGTGAGTACCTACCTTATCTCTCCTGATAGATTTTAAATGCCATCAAGTCAGGGACTATGTTCATGTTTGTATTTTCCACAGCTCTGGGAACAACAGGGCCTTTCCTTCCCAGGCACACAGTCAATATTTGCTGATTTGGAGTAATTGCCTGCTCTAAACTGGGCCCTGGCCGAGGGAGGTGGGGTGAAAAGCCCTTGAAAGTACAGGTGCCCGGAGGCTAAGTGGCAGTTCTGAGGGCTCTCTTCCCTATGTCCAGCTTCAGGCCCAAGTTCTGGTTGATTGGCTGTGGAGCCCAAGATGAAGTTGAACATTTAGGACCCCACAGAATGTTGTTATCCATAAATTATGTCCCGGGAGTGGCTCCATATTACTCCTTACCTTTTTTTTTGTTGTTGTTTTGTTTTGTTGAGACAGAGTCTCGCTCTGTCACCCAGACTGAGTGCAGTGGCGTAATCTTGGCTCTCTGCAATCTTCTGCCTCCCGGGTTCAAGTGATTCTTCTGCCTCAGCCTCCTAAGTAGCTGGGATTACAGGCACGTGCCACCACGCCCGGATAATTTTTGTATTTTTAGTAGAGACGAGGTTTCAGCATGTTGGTCAGGCTGGTCTGGAACTCCTGACCTCGTGATCTGTCCGCCAAAAGTTCTGGGATTACAGGTGTGAGCCACTGTGCCCGGCCTACTCCTTACCTCTTAGCCCTCTCTTACTCCTCTTTCCTCTTTCCAGCACTTGTAAATAAAATACAGTTGGTGCTTTATTGATTTCCAAAGTCCCCTACAGAAGCTTATTTAAGTCCTGCATTAGAAGTGAAGACAAACTACCTGTTATAATGCCAGTTATTTAGGAAAACAACAGTACATTTGCATGAGATGGTTAATTTTAAGAGTTACTCTTAAGCAAGCTTAATTGAAAGATGAGGTAGCTGAGATGACTAAGACGACCTAAATATTTTCAAGTGGCCTGCAGACTATTTGAAGGGACTTTGACAATGGATCCTCTTTATTGTGTCCATTTCACTGAATTTTATGAGTTTCATTGCCCCTGATTTAGTAAGTGTTCTTTCACATATCAGTTATGGACAGAATTTTTTTTTTTTTTTTTTTTTGCTTCTGTGCTGAAAAGAGGGACAATTTCTATCAACTGTGGGATTTAGGCCTTTTGTTTGCCTATTAGAAATTAAGTAGCCAGGAATGGTAGAAAAAGTAAGGAGGTAAACCGTGTATAAACAACCTCACAATCCCCCTAAGAAAGGAAGAAGGGTAGCAGCCTTACAGAATACAGTTAGATAATGCCATTCCCCTACCAGCCACTAGTGGTCACTGTCAGACCAGGAAAGCTTGGTTGCCGTTTTCCCAGAGAGTTCCTGATGAAGCGGGGTTACAACTAGTTATTTCAACACGGGGTGACTTAAATGTGGACTACCTGCATTCATAGAATTTTGAAATGTATAACCTGCTTCTTAAAGCATTTAATATTT